TGTCATAGTCGTGGCACTTCCAACCAGGAAAGAAGACTGAGCTTTGCGCACAAGGGTCAAAATGACATTGAAGACATCAATTGTCAAACGCAAAATGAAGTCAAGAAGTGTCAGCAACATGGCACAACTGACAACACTTGGAGGGACTGTTCAGCAGTGATGTCCCTGAGCCAAACACTTCGCGAGGCTGAGTTTCACATTTCACCTTCTCTTTATCCTAGTATCCCTTGAAGAGGTGACTGGCTTTGTAACTCAACTCCCAACACCAGGGTATGTCCCAAATGTCAAGTGACAAAAGGCAACTATCTAAATCTAGATAAGACGATGTCCAAGGGTCTCAACTCAAGAGGAGCCAATTGAACTCTTTTCTGAAGACGTTGAGTTGTACTGAGCAACCACACAGAGAACTGAGGGTACACCGCTCCATGTAGAACTCCTGGCCTGGCCACACAGAGGTCATTGGTGTACAGTATTGAATAATGACAACTGACCAAGAACATGTCATGTGACAGTTAAATAATGCTTCCAAGTCAGAATGGAACTAGCACTACCTCTCATCTACTACCTGTCACCTTTTCACCTTGAAAACCTACCGCCAGTGTCCACTTGAATACCTACCTTGAATACCTACCTACCCAACTAACCTACCTACCTACCTACCTACCTTGCATACCTTGACCTTGAGAGAATGAACAACGTGAACTACACTTCTATGCTCTGTACTCATCAGGGCCAGGCCAGTGAGAACAAAGCTTGCCTCCAATCAGCACCTGGCAATCAAATAGGTTGCGATGAAAGGTTGAGATACTTAGAACTAGTATTGGGTCGATGGCATGGCGTGCACTTGGAAGAACTCCGCTTTTTTCACTTCACAGGCCAGAGTCAGGCCACATCTAAACACTCCCTGGCATGTTCATTCATGCCTATCTAAAAACTCATGTCTCCAAGTGACATGTCAAGTCAAATGTCAAATGACTCAGTCATCCGGCACTGGAGTATCCGAGCTGCCGCTGGCTGCACTGGCCCTGGCTTGCAAGCCATGAACAAAGGCTTCCACCATATCCCCCTCACCAAACAGGGCGTTCTCCAGCACATCAACCATTGAATTCTCCATTTCCATCTCATAGTCAGTGTCAGGATTCCATGGATCTGACAGAACTCTTGTTTGCAACGAATGATGCACCAGCTCAACATTGAATTCATTTCACTTCAGATCTTTAAACTGACTACAACACCTATTTCATTGATTTACATTTTTGAACAACTGTCAAAACAGCAGCAGAGCCAACCTTGCCTATCACAAGATGAATGCCGGTGGCATTGAGCACATACTTCAGGACCACACGGCGACAAAAGAAGCCAGAGAAGCGATGAATGATCATTTCTTAGATAATATTTGAGCAGGTGAAGGGATTTCGGAACAGTGTCTGACACATCTGATTTGCATTTACTGAGTCTGTCAGTTATGTCATTCCAAGCTACTGCTGCCCTCAGTGATGGTCCAGATGCCATCGCCCTCCATGTTTGATGGGACTGTGAACCAGATCGCATCATTCGCGAGGACAAGCGCTTTGAATGGCTGAGCGTCAGTGGCCTGCAGCAGTCCAATGACTCTTGCACCAACTCATTAATATAGGATTTGATCAATAATTCACGAAGTTCCACATGACTGAATGACATAATGGTCAAAATGACAAGTTCTTAAGACACTCAACCAAAGGTTCCTGACTGACCCATGAAATAATTGTCCAAGACACCTGCTGCAACTGCTGGAGGAACTCCTCCTTTGTCTTCTTCTTCCCATCCAACAGCTCAAGGTTCATCTCATAATTGAAGATCTTCTTGAAGTGCTCCACCATGTGTTCCAAAGCTTTCCTAAGCGAATGATACGAATGTGAACTATATTTATATGTAACATGTTCAACCAAGCCAATGTCATTTGTTACTATTCAGTTCAATTCAGAGACCAAGACACTAGTGACAATAGACAAGACACTTGAAGTTTGGATGGTCGTTGATCTCAGGAATGTAGATCTTCCTCCCACCATCCATCCTTAGGCATAGTAACTCATCTATCAAATCTACCTAGTCTGGCTGACCTCACCTGTGCTCTAATTCATTCCTTGTTACACATGGCAAGTGACAAGCAGAGACGCATAATTTATATCAAGGTGCTCAGTGAAATGTGGAAACGTGATCCGTTCTTCCTTCTGGCCAGCCAAATCAGAAATTCATTCCAATAAAGTCTGTCATGAATGAATCTGTCAATCAACACCACACCAACACCACTTGCCTCAAAGCATGTGTACGTATCAGGGATGGAGCCCTCTGGCGGCAGCCTCCTCAGATCCTCCATGTCCATGTAGCGTGAGAAGCCGCTCTCCATCTTCAAGAAAACAATGTGTGAATTGAAGTGTTGTGAAGATTCTGTGAATCAGTGGAATGTCATTCATGAGTCATGTGTCATGTGACTGGTTTGGGCCAACATCAAACGAACCATCAGTGTTGTAAATCAGCAAACAGTCAGCAAGTCATCAGTGAGCAAACCAGTTCAAAGTGACTATACTACCAAGTGTTCAATAAATGATTGATTGACAAATGGAGCCCATGAATGAAATGAAAGTATGAGTGAGCACCTCCACGAATGTAGAGCCAGAAGACCAATTGTCAGACCTCAGATCAGCAGGTGTCAAGTGACAACTGGAACAAACAATCGACTTGGCTCAAGACCACTGATTCTAACAGTGAGTTGACTGGCATCATTAATCATTATGCCCTGAACTGCTAAAGTCTCGGCTTACTATTTCATTTGTTTCCACTGATCTCAGTGCCACACATCTTGAAGACAGAAGAACTCGAAGAAAGACATCAGTCAGGAGTCATATGACAATTGATCAAATGGTCAAGTGACGTCAAGTGACACATGTAAAGGGTCAAGTGACACATGTAAAGGGTCAGGTGACACATGTAAAGGGTCAAGTGACGCATGCAAGGGGTCAAGTGACACATGATCTCAAACGCTGAGACTTGAGCTGTCCAGAACAACAATATCAAATGCCCCATGTCAAGTGACAAGTTGAACTAGTTTGAACTCAAGGAGTACGAAGTTACCTTAAATTGCTATGTTGTTGACGGTATGTGTTCTCTCGTTTAAACCGACAAGCAATGTTCTTATCACCGTATGCAATACAAATAGTTTCAATCACTCCTACAAGGGATAAGAAAGTCCCCGCTTAAGGTCATCGGTGTAGAAAAGACTAGTATCAAAAAAGGCCGGTTACAACTTTTTTGATCTCGCAAAAAGATCTACCTCACTTTAATTTCAACCTTCTTTGACTCAGGTTGATTCTTTGGTGTGTCTCGATTGATTTTTATTAGTGTCGCTTATTAAGCGATACTGTTTTTGTATGAAGGAATAGCATCCATATTCATATTAAAAAGATATTTACTTATACTATACTTTTGAGAATTCTTAAAAATTAGCAAAATCATCACCGATCTGGCCCCTAGCTGATCTAACCCCCTCACTCCCAGAAGTGAAACACATGTCCAACCCCCGCACCCCCAACTATAAACGGGAACCCTCGCTACGCATTCGGGAAAAAAAGCCTCACTCCGCTTGATGTCCCACCAGTCCTTTGTCACTGGACGGCGCTGTATGCTTCGCCTCCACTGACACGGATGCATCCCTGCTAGCTTTCGTCACCTACCCTCGGCCTCAAGAATATATATATATATATATATCACCCTCCGATCTTTTACTCATGACGCATACAAATAGTGGTCTCCGCCGTGACCGCAGCGGTCAAAGGTGGCAGCCCTCGGGCAAGCCGTACGTGGTCGCAGCGACCAAAGCTTGTTCAAGGCTCATTAGAACCTGTCGAGAGCTTAGTCCCCCTTCCTCCCCCACCCCCTCTCTTCCCCTTTCGCTTGTTGGGGTGTTCCTGAATGTAATACTCAGCTTCGCCCCCTTCTCCCTGGTGTGTCCCTGGACGCTCGCGCATAGCTGGGAACACCTGTCCCCTTCCTCTCTTTTCACTCTCTCTCTCTTTTCTCCTTTCTGTCTTTCCCCCCTTGCTTTCGTCCCAGAATGCTCACTTGCCGGCAGGTTACTCGTAGCAGATTGCTTCCTATCTAGAATCAGAATGTGGGTCTCCTGGACTCCTGCTGTAGCGTCGTTGCTCCTAGTAGTAAGGCCAGGAGCCCCTAGTAGCGTCCTTGCTCCTAGTAGCGATGCCAGGAGCCCCTAGTAGCGTCCTTGTACAAGAATCCACAACATACGTGTCAATCATCTCGGGGCCTCCCAGGGCTTTCGGCTATCGGCGCTGCCCGAACATGTCTCAATTGAACCTGTCACAGGATGAAGCCTGGGCTGCTGCCCAGCAAGCCTTCGCAGCACAGGAAGTTTGAGATGGGTCAAATCTCATCATATGGGTGGATTTGAGGAGGAAACAACCACTGGATATATAGAGGCCAAACTGTTTGATCCGTCAACCACAGGCATGAACGAAGCCCGTGATTGCTGGGAGGTTGATGTTTTATGCATACATGCTTGAGCATCAGAAAGCCAGTTTTGAACTTTCTACATGTAAAGATATTGTGCATTGTTTCAGTTAGATTAGCCAAGCTTCGTCTTATGGACAATGGACACTCGGTTTCTTTGATGGCCAAAGCACCATGGGTTTTATCCAGCAACAGAACTATCACCCCCATCAGCCCTCTTTATGCCGTTTATTGCGGCTCAAAGCTTGCACGCTATTGAACTTAGTTAGGCAAAGTCAGGAGATCGACCCCTTTCGGGCTGTTGTGACTGCATAGCTGTATCATGCTGCATCTATAACATGCAGACAACCCGCAACAATTAAGCGTAGATATGATTCAAGAGATGTCTCCCATGTGCCGGTTTGCAGGTGTAATCGGGTGATGAAGCGTTTTTGAGTCGCTCAATGTCCCCCTGACGTATGGAAAAATTGCTAACTCAGGCAGCTGCTGGACTCTAGACCACCTCTAGAAAAGCAATTGGCCTTTGCTAAGCAACTTTGGTGATGCTCATGTGGCTTGCTCGCTGGGCGCAGGTAGGGCTTGAGCAGAATCTGATTGGCCTTCATCTCCGTGTAAGAAGTTTCAATCTTGGATAAATCGGAGCACTTACCATGTCCTCAGCGGCCACTTGACATACTTCACTAGACATGGCTAGACCAGACTTGTCGCAGGCTCCGTAGACTCTAATGGGTAGGAAGGCTTTGAACCTACTGTATCTTCTTCGGAAGCCCTACCTAATGGATCATACAATGTTGGCCAGTGGTCACGAGCATTGAAACGGTTCTACTGTCTCAGGGGAATTTCAACTTTGTAGCTGAACCGCAAGTAGGACTAGACGACGAAGAACCCTGATGGACTGCCTTAATAGAATTTTGCCTGAATGCCTTCTCCCCGATTACATATATATATATATATTGTGTAGGTGTCCAATGAATTGAACATGCACAACAGCACAACTAACAACAGGGCTAGACTTTTGATGTTTGCTTCCCGCGCAGAATAACGTTGCAAGCTTGACACACATCTCCTTCCCAGTAGAATTCAGGCTCGGGAGTTTCACCCTGAACTTAACTAAACAAAATCATAAGAATATAGTACTTAGTAGAAACTTTGTTGCAACTCCATTGAGGATCACGCAGGATTCCACAAGGTAAGGTTTGTAGGTTATGTGCCTACGCCGCCTGTGTTTACAACATTTGTCCTGTTTGTGCATGTAAGTGAATGCAGTGTAAGGATATTGCAGACCATTTGGCTATGCTGTCCATGCTTGCCACGGGGTTTCTCTTGTTTGGAGTTTAGTACCCTTCAGAGTCTTCCTCACTTCCGCCAGGGATGGATGCTCGCCAGTTGACCCTCAGCATACCTCGACTAGAGGTGCCCAAGAAGGGCATAGATCGATCGATGTGTGGTTCTTGAAAAAATCAAGTTCTGGCAAACAGACTAGGGTTGAGACTATCTACAAGACGGTTTTTCACAAAAGTTGTGGGAGAGTATCAAGGGTCTAAGCAGTGGCTTTCCGCGGGGAGACTTTGCATTCCTTTATCGTATCCAGACTGTTCACGACAACTCAACTCACTCATCGATAGAAGTTTGAGCTTCTTTGCCCCTGCATCAACAGAAGTGAGTTTTTGAATTGAATTTATAGTTGAAGTCCTCGGGGTGAGAGGAGAAGTAAATGGTCTTGTTGAGAAACAGATGACTCGCGGTTTAAGCTTGAGGCATCGACGTAGAGAGTAGAGTTTATATATATATATAATTATATATATATCTTTCGATGGAGGGGATAAGGCCACAACGGGAGTAGGAACTTTAGTGACTCAATATACCCGTAGTAATCCGTAGTAAGTAGTAGTAAAGCGTAGATGGTAATATAGTCGCGGTTCCCCTGTTTGACAATAGTATTCTTCATGACTTTTCATGCACACTTCAAGTCGGCTCTGGGAGACCGGAGTTGTGGCGTGTGCCTTTTGATGCCTTTTGTAAAGATGTAGATTGCGGTTGGCATGCAGCAATGTAATGCACGTGGGGAATTGTAGTTATTGTTTACAGTATATGTTTGGCTTGGTGTGACCAGCATCCCATCGTCGGCATGGCTTCTCTGTGATCGTGCGGCGCGAGTGTATGGTCCAGCCTGGACCAGCCACCCAGGCCCTTCCCGATTCCTACAAACAAAGGAATTGTCAACAAACACATATTGTCACAAAATCATAACAGATCATAACAGCATCACAACAAACACATACAAACGCCATATGGGCTGTTGCAATAACCCCGCGCTCAGCTGTTTAGTATTGGTATGCACCTTAACACTACTAATGCATTCCTACCCCAGAAAACGATAAGAGTAAAACACAATGATAACAATGATTATACCTGCACATTCAGAACAAAAAACTACTAGGGGCTCCTGACCTTACTACTAGGAACAAGAAGCTACTAGGGACTCCTTGCCTTACTACAAAGCAACATCGCTACCAGGAACAAGAAGCTCTTTACTACTAGGAACTGAATGGGCTGTTTGGTCCATATGCTGCAGCTGTTTACATGAACCACAAAAATGGCAACCTGCAGAGGTGTCCGGAACGATAACAAAAGATAACGAAAACGATAAGAAAATGTAGCAAAAAGCAGCCCTGGTGGGCAAGTACCCATTTGACTGTTTTCATTAGACCTTTTGAAGGGCAGACGTGTGCGATGTGGTAGTCTTGTTTAGCTGTCTATATATATATATATATGATCTTTGCTGCTGCCATGTCTTTACCACCAAAGACGGTGTACGCCTTGGTACAGGCAGTGCTACGGGATCCTGAAGTAGGACCATGTAGACTTATGATGCACGCTAAAGCTAGTTCTGATGACACAGCAAAACATAAAAAATGCATAAACAATGCAAAATTAATGCAAACCCAATCCCGAAAAAAATGCACAGAAAACGCAAAAAACAAGTCACCAAAGGATGCCTTGGAATGCCAAAAAACGCAAAACAAATGCGAACAAAACGCATTTGTCCACTAAACAAATGCAAAAAAACGCACAAAAGTGCAAAACAATGCACAAAAAAGGCACAAAAAATGCCCAAAAATGCAATCAAAAAGCAAAACAAATGTGATCAAAAACGTTCTGGTCTTTGCCTTTGCATATTTTTGCTTTGTATTTGCGTTTTTTGCATCTTTTGTGCGTTTCCTTGAGAAAACGCAAAAAATCGCAAAAAAAATCGCACAAAAGACGCACAAAACATGCAACAAACAAGCCAAACAAATTGCACATAAAACGCACAAACATCGAAAAAACAATCGCACAAGAACTGGCCCTGCTATATCAACAGTTTGAGAGGGTTTTCAACATCAGTTTTTTAGGTGTTTTTCCGAGGGTGCTTCGTGTGGAGTTCTT